TTCACTTCATAGACAACTTAAGTTATATAAAAAAATAATTTAAGTGAAGGTTTAATAAGTAATTTGAACAAAGGTTCTGTAAGTAATTTGAACGAAGATAAGTAATTTGAGCGAAGGTTCAATAATTTGAGTGAAGGTTCAATAATTTGAGTGAAGGTTCAATAAGTTATATAAAAAAATAATTTGAGCAAAAGTTCTATTATTTACTTTGTATAGTGATGCAAACGGCTTGAGCCAAGCCAAGAGCCAAATGGCTAAGCTGAGCCGATTAACGGCACGGCTCTGGGTTTACTAATAAAGCATCGGCTCTAAAACGGCTCAGCTCTAGACCCTTAAAGCCGATATGGACGACTAATTTGTATTACATGCAATAGTAACCGATAAAATACTGTAATTTTATTTGATAGTTCAGGTAACGCAGTAGTGTATAAGCTTTAGCATTTGTGACAAACATTCTGCTAAAAAAAAGGTAAATTGCGTGCTATTTCTAAACTGTAAGTAATCGGACCAGGCTTGACATTAATTAAAGGTTGTGCTGCTAAAATTTAATAGTAACTATTTTAGTACTTAAATATATGATTCGACTTAAACAACAGATTGTTAAATATGAATGAAGTTTAGTATAAAATATAAACTGGTGTAATGTGTCGTAACTAACACTATTTATTTACATATAGAACTACTTAAGTTTTATTAAAAAAAAAAAATTAAATTCTACTTAACTACTTCAAATCAGATGCATTTAACTAGTTTGCTTATATATGGTTGCGGCTCGGCTTGGCTCTGACCTTTGGAGCCGAAAGATCGACTCGGCTTGGTCAATGCAAGCCGTGAGCCGAGCCGTTTACATCACTAACTCTGTATTGTTATCATTAAATAGTTCGTTGATCTGCATAATAAAAAATTTTTTACTTATTTCGTCAAATGGGAGTCTCTAAAACACTCTCATTTAATTTTCCGATTTCAAAATTTTGATACACAAATAAGATTTTTTAAAATCTTGCTTATTTTAATTCTGAAACCTCTTATTTAAGGGGGTTTGAAATCTGAAATCAGAAAACTAAATAAGTGCTTATAAATATGAATATGAAATAGGATTTAAAGATCTGTGAATTTGAAATAAGTACGTACGTTACTTATTTTATCCGCAATCAGATGCTGAATCATTAATTTAAAAACCCAAATAAGGGTAATTCAAAATTAACAAATTTCGGAGATAAGAGTCGAATTTGGAATTACTAATGTCAAATAAAATGTATTTTGGAAGATATTTAAGTTTATCATTTAGGGGCTTTGAAATATTAAGATCAGAAAACTAATAGGAGCTTACGAATATGAATTTACAATTTTTTTTTTTTTTAAAAAAAAAAAAGGATTTAAAGATCGCTCAATTTTGAAATAAGTACGTTACTTATTTTATCTGAAATCAGATGGTCAAAATTAACACATTTCGGATATAAAAATAGAATTTGGAATTACGAATGCCAAATAAAAGGGTATTTAGTAATTAAGTAAGATATTTAAGTTCGTGAATCTTTAATAACATATCGGAGATAAAAATCGAATTTGGAACTATGAATGTTAAATAAAAGAGTGTATTTGGTAACTCTCGTTACAGAGGTAACATAAAAGTGGCAGAAAAAATTTGCGATCAAATGCTATGCCTAATTTCATAAATTTTTGTATGTTGATATTATTATGAGGTTAAGGACGATCGGAATCACCTGATCGCGAATTTTTTCTGCCGTCACTATGTTACCTCACGTGAAGCCATATATAGTTTAGAACGAATTAACAATAAATGTGATTGGTAATAATAATATCCTAATCCATTGAGGATTAGCGGAAACTTTTATTCACATATGGATCAGTGATTTTAAAATATTCGAAATTTGGTTAGAAACCCCGGATTTATTCGACAGATTTGTGGAATTTGATAAATAGAGGCGTAGCTTTGGTCAAATTTGCAGATCATTTGGCATCTTTGCAGTTAAATAATTTCAAACCTGGCCAAATGATCTGCAAATTTGACCAGAGTTACGACTCTTGGGTTTTAAACCGCCGATACGTATTATCTTAATTTCATTTATACGCATTAATCCGGTTGGATATAAATAGTTTATTGTTTATAAGTATATATTTTAAAATAAACTATTCAATTTCATTTTAATAAATAAGTTAGAAAAAAAAATAATCAGCAAACTCTCCTGTTTTAGTCTTCGTTCTTAGTCCCTGCCTATCAATGATTATCAATTCATAATCCCGCTAAAAAATTCAAAATAACAAACAAATATTATATATATATATTTAAAAAATAATTACAATATCAGATATATAATCTTAGATTAAAGTACGTACGTACTTGTAAATGGTATTGTTTTGTTCAGGTGGGCATGAATCAAGTAATATATGGGTAGTCTGCTACCGTTTTGCATTTTCTGACTGATTTAAAATAGTTTTATAAATTCCAATTAAAGTGTATATCGATTATTATTTATAGCCAGTAAAGTTTTTAATATACATTAGCTTAATAAAATATTGGGATTTTTAGACTTGAAAAAATCAATCTTCAGAAGATATGTACTCTAAAAATAGAATAAAAACCAATCAGAAGATTGCTCGGCGAATTGAATTTAAGCATGTGACCTTGTTCGTACAAAAACTTTATAGCAATATCTATAAATAAAATGAAATTTCGTGTAACACGAACTTTAAACAAAAGGGTGTCGGCAAAGTAGTACGTAGCAAAAATTTTAATAGATTTCGAAAACAGAAAAAATTCCCATGCGCGTCTCATGTGCATGATGCGCATGAAATTTGAAAAAATTAGAATGACCCGATGATTAACCCACAGATTGACCCTATCTGACCAAACCGTATCTTTATCACTACCAACATAAACGAACTCTAAAGATTTGATAAAGCAAATCCGAACATCTAACCCTATTTCGAAGCGCTACTAAGAAAAAAAAAAATGTTGGAGCAAATTTCCAGTGTTCCCGGAACTAACCTAATTCTAATTTAATTGAAAAATATAAAATTATAAGCTTACACGTCACTATATTTTTGACAGTTCCTCCTCTAGATTTATCGTGTTTAAGAATAAAATTATTATCAACTACGTACTGTATTTATCAGATTTATTAAATAATAAGAAACAAACTTTTAACAATGAACGATTATTCACAAGATATTAAACAACAAGATATAAAGAAAGAAAATATTTGCTTTCCGATTAAGAATTTTGATGAATTCACCAACGGCGCATTATATTTGCACAACCTTCTTCAACATATATTTAATGGCAATATAGGAGCTCCGGTTCTTGAAAAGTTACAAACCGGAGCTAAAGTTCTACAATTTGGGTAAAATAAATTTTTGTTTATTTTTGTAAAAATTTATTAATATAACATCTAAATAATCCTAAATTTTAAAAATTCATAAAAAAGTTGTGAAGCTGGCATTTGGATTGACGAAGTATTTAACCTTATTGTCATTTTATAAATCTTGGTATTACAGCATCAGTAATAATTAATCTTTTTTTTTTTGATTTATACTAGGTTTCTACGGAGTATCCAAATACAGAATTTTATGCAGTTGGTTTTATCCAACGAGAAGAATCTAGTGAAAATGTTAAATTTATTGAATTTGATGTTCATAAAATACAACCATTACCATTTTCCGATGATGAATTTGATTTGGTTTTTACCAGAGATCACAACTGTTTCTTTAGAGAAGAATGTTTTCAAGGATATTTAATTGAGCTCTTCAGAGTATTGAAACCAGGAGGTTATTTGGAGGTGAGCTTTTTTTTTTTAACTTCACAATAAAAGCCACATTTATAGATCCAAAATTATTTATATTAGGTTGGATATCAATTTAATCATGACGTTATTGTTGGGCCATCCTTTACGCGACTGAATGAAGCATGTAAGTTTATATTTTTAAAAATTTATACAGTATTTTGAAATATTTTCTCAATTCATTTATTTATAATTCTTTAGGGACATCGTGGTTTACGGCAAATGGCATTAATAACGATTTCATATTACATTTTGAAGATTATCTTGAAAAGACTGAGAAAGCTGATTCTATTACGCATCAAATAGGAAACATTCCGGTTGGAGATAATAGTTGTGGTGAGTTTTATAATGATGTGGCTTTATACTATTTTAAAAGTGTAAAGGAAGTTATGGCACCTTTTATGGGAATGTCATTTAAAGAATATGATGAATTGATAAACGAGATTGAAAAAGAATTTAAGGGTTGTGGCAAAGTAAATTTCAAACAAAAAAGAGTATTTGCAAGAAAGAAGTTCTTTTTGTAACTACTTACAGCATTCCATCACTATATGAAAGTAATAATAATTTCCCGATTTTTACTGAGTATTGCTTCGATTTACCCTTAATCTATTTTTTATTTTCCATTTATATATTCACAATTCTATATCTTTCATTATCTTTTAATCTTGCAATTGAATAAAAAGCAATTATTTTATTATTACGGACGTTAACATTCGAAGCTTTAGTTTTCGATACGTTCTTTTAATTGCTAATGCTTAAACTAAGTGCCTGAAGTGTTCAAAGGGAGTTATAAGTACAAAAATATCTCTTAATTAGAATTCTAGAATTGTAAAAATTTACGAATATTTCTGACTATCATAAGAAAAGTTTTAATCAGATTATTTCGTTTACTTACCGGTACCATTATCCAAGTGAACTAAGCGAATTTCTAGTTTAAGTTTTTGAAACATCTTTTGTCGAAGGTTTGTTAAATTTTGTTACGTGATCTTATTATGTCGAAGGTTTGTTAAATTTTGTTACGTGATCTTATTATTTGAATTTTTGAATTATGTACAATTTTATAATATCAACATTCGACACATTTTTTTCTTAAGTACGTTATTTATTTATTTATTTTATTTATTCTTTATTCTATATAATAAAAATAATTGATATCAAAATAAGCGAAAAGAAAAAAAAATGTATAATAAAAATAAATTAAAAGTCAATAACACTTATAAATTCTTTATCTTCTAAATCCAAGAAATCAGCTATTCTAAAACATTTTAAAACATTATCATCTACATACTTATTAATTAAATCATTAACCGATAAACCCCAAGAAAATTCACAATCATCGGAAATAAATAAAGATAAAGGAAGATTACAAGATAAAGATAAATTTCTAAATTTCCAATTTTCAAAAAAAGATTCTATAATATGAAAAGAAAAAGACCAATTACCATCAAAATTTAAAATAGAAAAATTTTTTGGAGCTTTATCAATAATAATTTTTAAAATATTTTCAGCATTAATCATAATATTTTCATCATTTAAATCTTTAGCACAAATCTTAATTCCAATTAAATTTTTACAAATTGATAATAATTGAATAAAATCATCAATAAAATCATCGGAATACCAAATAGTGACGAAATTTAGAGAATTAAAAGATCTTGAAATAATTCTAATAAAATCTTGAAATTCTTTATTATCAGGAGGGGTAGCAAGTAATCTATTCCAATAAATTCTTTTAAATTTAGAAGAAGAATGATCAATAAGACATTTATAAAATCTAAAAGGAGTAAATTCATCACGAAATACATCTAGTACTTCTAGATTTGGTAAAACCATGTTACAGAGCCAAAATTTTCTTGGTATTTCAGAAGTGACATAAATTTTTAAAACTTTAAGGAATATAAAAGAAGATAAATGTTCGGTAGAAAAAAACAAATTATTATAAACCTTAATAAAAGATAAAGAATGAGCTTGAGTAGTAAGAGCTTCACCAATATGAATTAATTTTTCAACCATTTCACTATTATCAGTACCCAAATCCAGATGAATTAAACGATGTTGTAAATTAATTAAGGTAGCCAATCCTTGATTATCTTCTTCACAAGGATAAACACGAAGCCTTTGAATTTTTCTACAGAATTCAGCCAGACAAAAAAAGTACCTTGGAGAATCTTCAGTACTACAATCCAAATCAGAAAGATGAGATAAACATAATCTTGCACCAGGCATATACATAATAGGAAAATCAGGAAGATCAAGAAGTCTTGAGATGGAAGAAGCTTTTGACATATATAAATTATATAATTCATGTTCTAATATAGTAGCTTTATAACCCAAAGATAAATCATTAAGACGATTTAAATTTTGAAAACTATTATTATTAATATTAATATTATTTGAAGATAATATAACATGAATCATTCCATCGATTATCCAAGAAGATAAAATTTGACAATAACTAATATAATTAAATAAAGGAAGACGATGAGAAGTAAGATAAGAAGTAGCAATGTCATTACTTAATAAATTTTGACGAGAATCAAAAGATAAACAAGATAAAATAGTTTTAATAATAGTTGGTTTATATACAAAATTTCCACCATCGTTCCAAGGACAAGCCCAAAATAAAGGAATGGCATTTTTACACCAAAGTCTACTAACGAAAATACAATTATTTAAAGATTTTCTATCATCTTTATCATCATTCCTCAAATATTTAAATATTTCGTAAAGACAATCAGCTAAAAGTTCTGGCATGAATAAAAATTTTTTCACTACATTTGGAAAAAAGAGAAAAAAAAACCTATAAATGTAAATTAATAAATGCGGAGCTTATATATTTATAGAATGCAGGTTTACGATGATCATTGTAGATCTGTATTTCAGTATTTACTGGGGTTTTACGTATCAGGTATTCAGGTATCTGCTGAGGTATGTATAACTGCTGGGTTACACATATTTTTATATCGCAGTATTGATTACGTATTTGAATGGGTTGATTCTTTTATAGTGACGATATATTTTTTACTGTAATCTTTTGAATAAGCAAAAGTAATGTTAATTTTTTCTCAAAAAGGGATTAGTGAATAAAAAAACGGATCACTAGTTAATGTAAAAAGTAGGGATGTTAAGTCGTCCGCAGGGGACCGGACTTTTTAAGACTTTTAGGGACCGTCCACAATCAGTCCGAAACTAGTCCAGATAATCACATGATATGAACCAAGTGACGTTTTTGACATTTCAAGTGAAAATTAATAAGGAATGAATCAAAAACGATACTTTTAAATTTCTGAATTTAAATAGGCTCTAAATAGGCTCTAAACTTCACTAATCGGGTGATTAATAATATTTATTTGTTATGCAGATACTATTACGATTAAAGTTAAAATTAGCTAATGCGTATGGCATTTTTTTATAGCCTTTCTATTTTCTTTCGCTCTTTAATCAACATAATCGTTTGAAATAAAATAATAAGCATAACTATGCTAGATGTAATTTGTTAGTTTGAAATTTCCCTTAATAAAATAGCACCGAAATGAAAATTGATCATCTTCACTTACAATAATGACAATGAAGATTGGTACATAAAAGGATAAACAAAAACTCTTAGAATTCTACAGATGCAAGCAATAACTTTTAAAAAGCCCAAATATTAAATTATAAACCCAAATACTAATAAGCCTAGATTTGCTGGTAGAACAGATAATAATGCAGATAAATCTATGGTGTTTATTTGCTACGTATAAAATCTGCATTTCATCATTAATTTTTTTTATTTGATAATTGTATGAACAAGCCACGACATAATTATGACAAGTTATAACTTACTAGCCTAATTTCTCAACTAGACAATTGCTCTATTCATGAGTAATTAAAAAAAATAAATAAAATAAAATAAAAAAATAAAAAACCATACTCTTACT